CCCTTATGACTGCCTTTTACGAAACAACGTTAAACCATGTCAAAGCACAACAATTCCTACACTTCAATTCCCAAATATGAATCTCAGGTCTAGGAATAAAAATATAATCTTGACTACATACTCCTATTAATGCAGTTCGTGTCATACCTAACGACGACCCTTATGACTGTTTTTTATGAAACAACATTCAACCATATCTAAGCACAACAATCTCTACACCTTAAGTCCTAAATATGTATCTCAGGTCTAAGATTAAAAATATACAACCTTGATCAAAACATCACTCTTGACTACGATCCATAGAGTGGTTGTGATGCGGGTCAAGTCCAATACTTATTCTCCTAATCAAGTACCTATGAAGTTGGTAGTAGCTCTTTGCCATTCTCATCTCTATTAGAATCCACCAATCCACTCATATCAATCTTACCTCATAGATGCTCCCACAACTATGAATGAATATGGACATTTAGAATAACCTAGTTATTCAAGGATTTAAACATGCTAATATATAACACAACAGTTATTTAATGAAAGTCTCATATCCTATATCATTCATTACAATATATGTTGTTTTATTGTTCCAATATCGAAATACTAAATTTCAATCAATACATCCAATTGTATTAACAATGCCTTATAACACCAACTTGGCTTTCATGCTTTAGCTAATGAATCAGCTTTGTTAAGTAGATATGACAAACTTGATTTGCGTAAACTTTACGAATACAATCATTTTCAGTCTTATATATGACAAATATATAAAGAAAAACTATTGAGAATGAATTAGATGCTTGAATATGACTTAGATACCAATACTTGTGTATTGGGATTACCCATAGACATAATGAACTATACATTAAGCATCTTTGTATGTGGTTCTCCAAACCATGAGGTACTCTAACTGTTATGTGTAACTGTAATTAAAATCTAAATGGAACCACTATACATGTAATTATCTCTTCATTCATAATGAGGATACGCCCGATTGTAACTGAGAATAATCTCAATCTATTTCAAAATTTAGCACAACTGTAACAACTTTAAACATACCCTTCTTTCAAATACTATGTTGACTAGGAATATTTCTATACTTCTCACAAGTACTTTAGAATGTTCCTATAAGTCACACAATGACTTGTTCTCGGATTATACTGGTATCATTTTTCATGCTCTAAGCTATGACTTATTTGGCCTTTATTCATAATCATGACATATATTTTTAATCCAATTGCATCAGCATACAGATAAAATCATATTATCAAGTACAAAACATTTTTACTAGGATTTTTCTCTAAATTATGTCATATGGTATTTGACAAGAAGACTCTCTCAGAGTCCTTTATCTTAAGCTCTTTTAAGATGCTTGACAATTAATGCAATTTTACATAATCCTTTAGTTGCCACGATCTATCTATATAGATCCTTATTCCATGAATTAATACGTCGACTACATATGATATTAGGAATGTTACTGCACTCCCACTAGCTTTGTAGAAAACACAAGAGTCATCTTGATTCATATTTAAATCACACTATGTAATTAACTTATAAGAAAGAATATTCTTACTTTGAGATGTTATCTTAAATCTTGGAAAGGTTTTCATTCATGTATGTTTTCTCCATTGAAAACTCACTTACTCTTTATAGTCAAACTATATCGAGGAAGATTATTCAAGCCCATACTTGATAATCATACATGAATGCATCTCTATGTGTTTTATTAGTTTCTGGTCACCCATTGAGCAGATTCAACAAACAGTTGAAAACTTGCTAGTTCCAAACTATGATGCATTTAGCTTATGGATATTTAGCTCTTAAATCTCCAAGTTGCCCCCACTTAGAAAAAATACTTTCTAATCACTTGTCTTAGGAATGAAAATTAGTGGGATTAGTAGAAACTTCATCCTAAACAATCATTTAGGATATTCTACATAAATGCAATTAGTAGATACTAGAGTGGTTGAAGTTATTGTTTAACATAAGCTCTATAACTCTATTCCTTTTAGATAAGGATAAACCATTTCATCCTTAGCCTAATATAAGCATCTAATCCAATTGTTTGGTTGGAAAATATTTATGTTCAATATATATTTGTTGCAGTGAGCATAATTCTAAAAATTTATAAAGTATATAGTTCTTTTAAAACATCATATAATTGACTACAATGTCTATTTTTATCCTCTTCAAAAACTTGTACTATCAACATTCAGCTAGTGGCCAGGTGACCCTATCCCACTAGAGAATATGAAGGCAACCTCGAACATCAAAACATATATTCAACCGACCAGGTGATCCTGTGCCACAAGAAACATACTAATGACACGTTAGTGTTTTTGTTGGAATGAGTTGTGAATCGATTCCACAACTCCTAATATGTTCCAAGAAGACTTGGTTTGTAGAATTCATTTTATTTATCACAACGAAAGGTTAATGATAATCTCATTAATGTGTATTTCAATCTTCACTATGAAAAATTTGATCAAATCAAAAGGTTTCATCAACAATGAATAAAAGTCATTAGTGAAATTGATTAAGTATCTATAACCAAATCTATTCATGGATTGAAAAAGATTACATACATCACTTACGTTTAACTCTAAGTCAAGCCTTTTGTTCTTTAACTACTAATAGATAAACACAATGGTGAATCATCTTCCCATATAAATAGGATTCACACATAGATAAGTTCCAATCAAATGTCATTTGATTATATAGGTATTATGATCAGAACTATTAATTTAATGAAAGATTATAGATTTACTTCATAAATAACATTATGAGAAAATATTCTTTAACACAGAATACATCGTTTCAGCGTATGAATGTGAACATCCATTAAAAGATAAGTAAATCTAGATTTATTCATAAATTACTAGTATTACAAGATCCTATAAAAATAGGTACAAAAAATCTATTGTTTAAATAAAAGAATATAACCACACTTGTTATATCTTCAACACGAAATACCATTCTTTTATATTCAGTCGATTATTTATTCAAATAATTAACGCATCATATCAATTATTAGTGTCACATGAAGTATTACATACTCAAGTCAATGATGAAACAATAAATAACTCTATCATATAGATATCTGAAGTCTTGTCGGAGTCAGACTTCTTTAGCTCGATGTGATTAGAGGATCAATTCCTCTTTTAGTGTCTAGTTTCTTCCACAATAGAAACAACACTAATCATTTGGTCCTTTCTTGATTTATAGGTTTATGTTGTATTTCCCTTAATACAAATATAAGTCTATATGAGTGCACAATCTCTTAGACTTCTTCTTATTCAATGCTTGAATAGACTTGAAGCTATTTATAGTGTTTTGGTTGAATATCTGCTTTACTTGATGAGACATATGATATGTTTCATAATTATCCAAGACTTTCAGATAGTTATGGTTAATCACTCTAGTATGATGTGAGACACATCAACATCATCACAATAATACTTCACACAAAGTATCATGATAAGACTAACTGGTTGTAGAGGTTACTCAAGTATGTGACCTTGTAGTATGTATAATTTCTATTTATCTTAAAGGTAGAACCTCAAGATATTATACCTGTTATAGAAATTATAACCATCAAAAGTTACTGTCTCTTAAAAGTCAACAAAATAGAGGTTTTGCAAGGTGTAAAATTATTAACATTTATCAACAGAATTTAACAAAGTTTCATATAGTATTTTCAATATCTAGTCTTTAAAAATTAATGTCTAGGATCCAAGTAACAAAACAAGTAAATGGTTAGGTTACCTTTATACCATAAACTTAATCAAACTTGTTAGATAACGATTACCAATTGCATACGATATGTAACTCCTACATTATGGGATCCTAAACAACTATTGTTTAGCTCGGCATGTTTATCTCATCTATGCCTCAAAACTCTTATGCATAGGCGACATTTATCACATAATAAATTGATCAAATGATGCATTTAAAAAACATGTGACTTCTGTTTCAAAAATGGTTAGATGAATTTTATCCCATAAGCAAATACTAAAACACCTTGACTATTTTTGACAACTCAAATGAATAAGGTGACCCTAAAATCCATATAAACTGCACAAAAATCCTAAGTGAATTTTAAATGGATTGCGTAGATTTAAAGTTTTGTAAATAAGGGTTTATATACGTTTTACAATTATAGTTTATAAAAACATGGTCTCATTAGTATTGCATGCATCCAACAATTCATGTACCCATTTGTAAAATTCATATAACTTGTTATGAGGTTATTTAGGGTCCAAATAAAATTTCATTTTATTTACCATTAATTGCGATCTCTTATAAACTAAAATCCGGTATTTTAAAGTTTAGACGTAGATCGGTTTTAAGAACCGGTATCAATCTTAATAAAACTTTATTTTATGCTTAAGATTTGGAGTTTTGGATGAGTTATAAAATCACTATTTTAAATCTCCTTTTTAACAATCAAAGACTTACGACTTCATCAATTTATAGAATAAACTCATTTTATTTTATATACTCAATTTTATGTATCTTATGATAAAAGGACTTAATTTGATAAACCAAAACATGGATGATGATGCTTATGTTTTAAATCTTATTTAGCATGCATAAAAAATAATATCAACTAGTGGAGAAACCCCGCTCTGCGGGGTTCAGTGACCAGAGTTTTATACTTCTGTTTATCGGTTATACTTTTGTTTATCGGTTATGTATGCGGTTTAGTTAGCCTACCATACATCTATCCATAAATTGTACCACCCAACATAGCCTACAATACAACTTTTTTTTTCTTCTTACACTAACATTTTATTTAGAAAAACATTTTTATTAAATTCTTAACTATCTAGCCTTTTTGAAATTGTCTAATTTATATTTTTCTTTTTTATGATTTTCAATAATATATTCATGCTATTGTGATTTTTGACATAACAAAACATTTAATATAAATTTTTTCTAACAAAAATTGAAATTACATGAGTATTTTAACAAATCACTATAATAGTTTTTAAAATTTAAACAATCAGAATTTGATATCATATTTCATACATACACATACTAAGAGCATGAGAAAATAAAGCAACCTAAGAATGCAGTTATCCAGAGCCAAAAGTTTAAGATTTATTTATGAAAATGTGGTGTCTTCATCGTGTTTTATTTTAACTACATCTGGATATAAAATGCTACATGTTACACCACATATTTTAGATGATATAGCTAAAAGTGTGCATACTCTGTCCTCTGTGAATCTTCTTCTGAGCTCCACATGGAATCTATCACTTGCACAATTACAAATGGTAGAAGAATGAAGGTAACAGAGTAAGTGAAGAACATGAGGGTTTATGTTCTAGTTGTTCTTTGGTTTAGCATTATCTCTATAAAGAGATAAATAAACATTATAGTCCTATAAAAGCAAAACAAAGATCATGAATGTTTTAAAAAAATTTTGTTAAAGAATCGGAAAATAGTAAAACCCTGTCGTTATAAAAAACCAAACAAAATTTGTAGATTAACCTACTGGGTTGTAAAAACCTATTTCACAGTTATGGAGAAGTTATCAGGATACAAAAGGAGGAACTGATAAATGGTGATATGTAAATGATTTGGCCATTAAGAATGAGTATTGTACCCGTTATAGCCATGTGATTTTCTGCAAGTTTATGCCATTTTTCTTGAATATGAACATGATTATTAATTATTATGTAATTCTCAAACTATGTGAAGGGTTGAACTAAAAAAATACTGACCATAGAAAGTTGTACGGATCGTATAAATTCATTTTGTTTTCTGAATATTTCAGAGAGCAGGTCGCATATCAAATCCTCACTTCACAAAAATACGCCAACACTAAAAGAATATATACAATAGGGTTCCCTTATAAAGAAATGACAGCTACACATTACCTGGTGGAATAACAGAATGTTGGAGGAGGAAGCAAATACAGGGAGAAGGAGGGTGACGGAGGACGAACCGGACATTATGCTCACAATTGTTCAACCTCAGCCTTTTAGTCGATTTATGTATGTTTAGTTAAAATTGGTAGTGGATATCAAATAGGATCCAAACCCACCTGCAGATAATTAGAAATAAGTTTTGGAAAGGGGATTTGCTTGCGATTGAAGAGGGTAGAGTGAGGGTATTCTCTTGCTTGGTGACGAATAAAAAACAGGTCCAATAGAGTTGGCATAAAATCGGATTCAACAATCAATCATGGGTCAATTGTAAAGAAACAAACTTTTAGAAACAATCTAATCTAATATATCTGATTAAAACTCTGATAAGGAACTCACGTAATCAGTATGGGTCACTCATAACGATCGTTTTCCTTTGTTTCTTCCTGACTAAGTTTGTATGAAGCTTCGTACTGCACAGTTAGAAGGCCATGTTGATAACCATATAAACGATTAATCCGAAAATTGGAATCAGCAAACCATCGATTTAGCAAAACTTAGGGTTGAAACCTAAATGAATCGGGTTCTTGGGCACTCGTCCTTCTCCGGTGGTGCTAACGTCGAGGGCCGATAAAATTAGAGGTTGGAGATTTATCAGCCACCGATCAAAGCAGAAACAGAATCACCTAATCATAAGATAGGTAAAAGATTATGAAAAAGAAGTATTACACTTTGGATATTTCTCATCAAAAAGATAAGTGCGCCTCTTTGAGGATTACACTATAAGAGACCTTGATGAAGCCCTACAAAATCGACATAGAAGCATTTATTTAGAAGCAATATGATAGGGAAAAGATTATGAAAAAGATGTATTTAGTCAAAAAAAGGAGTCATCAAGAACCAGTTTTCAGAACATCTTCAAAGAAGCTTCATTTAAAGCCCCAATCATTTAAAATTTGAAGTGGTTAGACCTTGTGGGTGAGAAAAACTAGACAACAGAAGATGATTAGAAGAACTCATGATCTTAAAATTACCTTAATTTGAGTTTCCATGAACCCTTTTAATCGGGGCGTTGAATAGTCAGAACAGTCAACTCACCATCTTTGTCATCATCCCAATCTGCTGGCTGCAATTTTAGATCATTATAAGTAAAAACTAAATAATAAAAAATCTAAAATGGATCGAAGGGTCAAGCCATGATTGTAATTTTTTTTTACCACAAAATCAAATGATCTATATAAATACATAAATGAAGGAATGGTAAAATGGTCATTTAATTCTAATACATAGATCGTTTACTTGGACCAATGGATAGCAACTTACAAACAATTCTAGTGTACTTTGAATTTCCAACTCTTCCATAGGCTTATTAAGAATACGGTAAAAGGCTAGAAATAGAAACGCACTTTAACTTATTTGTTGATCCCAACAATCTACTTTCATTTCTTTCTATTACGACATTATACTTTCAGTTATTTTATTTATAACACATTATACGTTAAAAATTTATTCATCTATAGCATTGCACCTTCAAAATAAAAAATATATTAGGACATTGTATTTGAAAAACAACCCATATATAACAATAAAAATTGTTTTGTATCAACATTACTATATTAGACAGAGTTTTCAGCATACAAAGCTATAATAACTAAAAAAGAGCCTAGGATGCGATAATAAACAAAAAAAAAAAATTACATATCTGTTTCTTGCATTTAGCCCTTAAGAATTGTGAAAAATCCGTTAACCTATCACACTCCATAAGGGTTTATCTTCAGCAAGTAAAGATTTTACGCAAGTAAATATTGCAATTTATGAGCCTTACTTTTAGCAGCAAGAAACCCCGAACAAAAAACAATTCCACTAGTAGCAAATGGATGTGTAACAACAAAGAACAACTATCTGAAACCCAAAATACATGTTGCTAGCTTAATTTGAGACAAAACAAAGGAAACCAAAAAGAAGAAAAGTCAATCATGACAACAATCAACCATTAGCTTAGTAAACCTTTGATCTTTTGAAGCATAACATCCTCATAAATATTAAACTCTGACTTAAAATCTTGCAGGAAATTCTACTACCTTCCTAGTAGTGCTTCAGAATTTTTGCACCAAATGAGAACTCAAAACACAGAAGTTTGAAGTTTTAGTAACATAGAGTTTTTCAAGAAGATAAATCAAGAAAAGGATGATCATAATGCAATTTATTCTTACCCTCGAGCCATAAACCTCAGCAATATCAAACCAAGTTATAACACTATCTAAACTTGCATCAAATGCATTATTATAAGCTTTCATCTTCCTATCTGCAATCGTTGGGAAGAGAAACCTGGTCCTGATATCATTTTCAGTCAGAAACCAATAGATAATAGAGCACATAAGCTTAAAACAATTCATTGGGGAGTTTTCACGAACACCCGACGGACAAATTTTCAATATTTAATCAAAGTTACCATTCCATTGAAATTGTTCCAATAATTGGTAGGGTGTCATGACAAAGCTCCAAGTGCAAGCTTTGTAAACCTGAAATCAGAACCACCCGGCTTCACAAACTTATCTTCCTCGTTGTTCAACCTTTCTCTCGCTAAAAGCAAAGTTTCAGACACTGGTTTGTTATTATGCTTTAACTGCTAATCTAAGTACAAATATTACTTTTTTGTGTTCGATGCATAAATTCTCCACACCCACCACTACCACCGCAGCTGCTAGTGGTGATAGATGCAAACCTATGGAAATGTTACATACTTGGTTGAAAACAATTGGAGTAACTGGAGAGGAAGAAAAGTTAGAGACCTGATGTCGATTGAGGGAAATCAAAGAGTCACATATTCCATTTCCAAATTCGATTTTGAGGACTTTCAATTTAAGTCAATAGTTGATAAACATACCATTATTTTTTTGAGGAATTTGGGAATAATCAATGAATATCCAATTTCCAAAGTCGGAAAATTATTTGTCCATAGGAAACAAGCGAATTTAGAAATGTTAAACCGGAATAAAGAACCAAACACAAAAATTAGAAAAAAAAAACCATTAATACCTTTATGTGGGACCAAAATCTTCGTGCTAAACCTCCAGTGGTGGCGGCATCTAGGGTGGAAAAAAATTAGAAGTATATGAGAACCAGTCGGACTAAAATCTTTCTCTTCAACCTCATAAGAAACCCAAATCGGTGGTAAGGGAGCAGGTAGGGAATCAAAAATAGAAAATGAATCTGTATTCTTTGACCGTTCATCCTTTTGATTCTTCCCCTTTTCATCATCGATATTTTATTCCAAAGGGTCAAAAAAATAAAAAAATCAAAAGACAAAAGCAAACCTGTCATCTTCTTCTGATGGGACGATCCAACGATTTTAGAAATTGATCACATAAGGTTTGAAGGGAGAAGGTGGATACCGTATTGAGTGCTCAAGTCGACAAACTGAGAGGAGCAGGAAGTGGCGTTGGGAAGCATCGAGAAGAAAAAAGATACAGAAGGGATAGATGTACATGTCAAAGTGAATAAAGAAGTATTTGAGGCAGTGGAATCTCTTGATGGATTAACTAGGTGAAGGAAGTAGTGGACACGTGTACAGAACACGTATCACTCCTGAAAGAAGCAAACACGTGTGACAAACAATATCTATATTGATATAAAATGACCTTAAGACAGATTTGAATAGACACATATAAACAAAAGACCAATTATAGCAACCCTTAGAAGAAAGAACTGCAAACACACCCATAATCAGGGGACCAGTTCTGCCCAAAGCCTAAGAAGATCACTGTAGATAAGATAAGATAATTTTATATATATATATATATATATATATATATATATATATATATATATATATATATATATATATATATATAATATGTTGCGTTATGTTTAAAACACCAATATCATATATTAAGTTTCGATGCAAAAAATGATCACTGGTTTTATTATTTGCCGTTAAAATGCTATAAACCGATTTCAGTCTTTTTTTTTAATAAAAATTCCTTATATAACCAAAATGCATGAAAAATGGTTATATATAAAAATAAATAAACACAACACAAAGGTCCAAATGGATTGTTTATACTCAACAAAATATCAAATATTATAACGAACAACTCTTTGTTTTTTCTAAGGTAATTTTTATATAACCAAAATGCATGAAAAATGGTTATATATAAAAATAAACAAATTTAGTCAAGAAGTTGCCAAAGATGACAAATATGGATTTTTCTTAACAAAAATAAATCCATGCATGTTTTCCAAAACTAAAGATTATCAAACATAAAATATCATTCTAACATATAAAAGATGGCTCGGATATCACTGTTGGGTTTTGATATGAAATAAAAGTTTGTTTTTTCATAAAACAGCAATGGCAGACTTTAAAAATAACCAGTTTATTTTTAGTTCATAACAAAAACAAATCATCATGAATCCATTTATAAAGGTTAGAATGAAATAAACCAACAATAGGATGTTTTAGAGATAACCTTTAAAGCTTTTGAACCCACTTGGTTTTGGGATGTTGATGAACATAACAACAGATAACCTTTAAAGCCTTTGAACCCACTTAGCACTTGGAATGCTAGTGCCTTCTTATATTCTTGAGTGTCTTAAGCCTTTAAGTGCTTAACTCAATTAAGCACTAAAGGAAACAACTCAAGAGGTCTTCTAGACACCAAACTAAATTCAAAATAAAGAGAGGAAGAAAAGAAGAAGAACCAATGGTTCTAGAGAGAAAAGAGAAGAAGAAGAAAAACAACAACAACAACAAGAGCTTCACTCTTGAAAAAATACAAACCTCATGCATCTCTTATATAGCCCATGAAAAGTAAGACCTAACCATTAAAATAATCTAAAGTAATAGTAGCCTTTAGAAGCATGGGAGACAAAACCTAGAAGGTTGAAAAAGAAACCTACCACACCATCATTATGCCTTTTAAAAAGTAAGATTGTTTATTTTTTTATAAACTCCAAGTTTATAAAATATAAACTTTGTCTTTAGGTAAAAGACAAAGAATCCAACTAGTCTCAAAATGTTGTGCATGACTTATTAGTTCATAACATATGAAATAATAACTTGTAATATTCTCTTATAATTATTATTTTCACAAAACAATAATTATCCCCTAATTAAAATACAAGAATGAATATTATTTATTAATAATCATATTAATAATAAATATATAAAATGTGTCAACTTGATAAACGTGTGACCCTATAGGATCATATATTATTAGCAATATCACTCCATAATGATTCTTGGGCATATAGATCCATAATGATTCTTGATAAAGGTGTTGACTGACAGCATAAAACTATAGTATCAACCACAAAATAACATGTCGAAATATAATGAATAACAAACATACTCAGTAGAAAGATACTCATACAACCAGTAATCACATGTAGTCCTACATATCTACCAATCTGATTCCTATCATCAGCTATCATATAATCATACAGGTTTACCACGTACTCAAGATATCATTCATCGATATAATAGGTTATCAAACCAGCGAGCTGACCTTCGTGCCTTCCACCCACAATTATAGTGAGGAAAATGCACCTCACAGACTAAACATTACTGAATAAATCATGAATGTTGTCGGCTCTACTGGTCACCTTCAATATAAACCTGATCATAAGCCACTAATAAAATACCCAAATTACCCTTAGCTCAACCTTGTTCAAGCCTCTGGTCAAAGGTCAAAGTTAAAAATTCAACTAGTCAAAAGAGTTAACATTAATTGAGTACACCCTACGTACTCAGTTAGTATGCACAACATACTCCAAGTATTGACTAACCTACATGGTGATGACCCAGTGTGCGATGCGTACACTAAGGTACTCCTCACATATCTCTCAATTCTCAATCCATCTAGAAAAGGTCTTAAACCTTTAATCCTAAATTTCCATTACATAGACCCAGTTCCGAAAACATGTCTTAATCTATAAAGTCGATAACTTTGAGCTTTTGCATGGCTCAATAGGTCCCACATCTAAGCCCTAGCTCTACAACTTTATCAAAGGAGCTAATACATATGCATGGGAGGATAACAACCATCAAGATGAAAATTTTATGATTTTTGGACCTGTAAAACATCTAGATCTAAAGACTAGGTTCTTGGAGTAACTTTTACATACAAGGAAAAACTAAGGGAACTAAAATAAACCATGAATCACCCCAAACTAGATCTAAAGAAAGAGATGTCACGCTAAGAACGTTTTACCTTCAATAGCTTGCAAAAGAGGTGAAAACTATGGATCTCTAAGCTTCAATCTAAGCAATGAATATTCAATAACCTTCTATCTCTTCAAAAATCTACAAGAAAACACTAAGATTCTTTACAAGAGCTCAAGAACACTAAAATGGTGGTTAAGTGTCGAGAAAAGTGTTTAGGTGGTATGGAGGCTGATAAGAGGCAAGGCTTACTAGACTTAAAGAGATTATATAGGGTTAAACCCTAAATATTAATTTTTTTAGCTAGATGGAGTATGCCTTGTGTACTCATGAGTATGCCTAGTGTACTAGACTAAGCCCAAAAACCCTCCTAACTTTAAACGATCATAACTTCTTCATTTTAACTCCGTTTTCGATGTTCTTTATATCCCCAGAAAAGTATTGAAGAGATCTAAAATATTAATTCAATATATTTGAATAAAAGATTTTAAAAAATCTATATTTCATGCAAGAACCCGACCTATGACTTTTCCCTTTCTACCCTTCAACCCAAAACACATATCAAGGGTAAAATTTCTGAACTATCATTACCTCCTTCTACAAGGACTAAACTTTGATCCTTGAGGCCCAAAACCTTGCACAATCGACTTCCAGTCCATGGCTCATAAATGGCGGGAAACAGGATGTTATAAAATGATTAGGCTTAATCTTATTTATCTTTCTTACGATAATTCAATTTGAATGCCTTCTACTAGTAGTAGAAATAACTTTACTAAATCTGGTTTATGGCATGCTAGACTAGTCATATTGATTAAATGTATATTTAAAATGGATGACACAATATATAAGTACAAAGCCAGATTAGTTATCCAAGGCTTTCGGAAAAAGGAAGGCATAGAATTTTTGGATACTTATAGTCATGTAGCTAGAATTTCCACTATTATGTTATTATTAGCTCTTACATCTATGCATAATCTTGTGATTCGCCAAATGGATGTGAAACTACATCCTGGAATGGTGTCTTGGATGACGAGATTTACATGAAACAACCTAAAGAGTTTATGATGCATGGAAATGAACACAACGTGTGTAAGTTGAAGAAATCATTATATTGTTTGAACCAAGCACCAAAACATTGCCATCAAAATTTTGATGATGTGGTTTTGTTTAGTGGTTTTGAATTAAACCAAGCAGAAAAGTGCGTATATAGAAAATTTGATACTTCTAGCGAAGGAGTTATGATTTTTTATGTGTAGATGATATGTTGATTTTTGGTCGTGATTGAGATGAAGTTGATAAAATCAAGAAATTGTTATAATCTAGTTTTCATATGAAAGACTTCGGGGAGGCTAGGATAATTCTTGGCATAAAGATTCAAACAAGGAAACAATGATATTTCTATTGTTCAATCTCATTACATTGAGAAAATATTTTCAAAGTTTAACTTTGAAAATTATTTTCATATTAGCTCTCTTATAGATCCTAATCTTAAGCTTCTATCAAATAAGAGATCAACTTGAATACTCAAGAGATATTGGTCACCTTATGTATTCCATGATTAACAGTAGGCTTGATATAACATATGTTGTAGGAAAGCTAAGTAGGTATACTAAAAATCCTAGTTCACATCATTGGCATGTTTTAAATAGAATATTTAAGTATTTGAAAGGAACCATGGATTATGGTTTGACATATAGTGGATATCCTTCTGTCTTGAAAGGTTGTTTAAATGAAAGTTAGATTGCTAACTTAGAGGATCTTTCTGTTGAAGTTAAATTGAGAGGTGTTGAGGGCATGAAGTTAGCTACTGATGAGATGTTGTTCAAAGTTGGAAAGTCGCATGGTTACTTGATTAATCGTTTCCATGTTACCTTTGAAAGAATAGTCTTGTTGGATAATCAATGTTCACTTTTGGAGGCCAACTATGAGGCATGTCTTGAGCCTAAATATGTTCTTTAGGATCATCTTACTGCTAGGTTCATATGAGTTTTATTGCCTAGGTCGGTTAGAATTTCCCTTTTGTTATTTTGTTGCAAGCGTTGATATTGTGATTGCTTGCAAGCGTAACTAGTTTGTTTTTCTTTCACCTTTTCTTCGTATATCATGCGTACTTGATGGTTTAAATGATCTCTTTTTGGTTCTATTATTATCCAACTCGCCTTTGCCTTGCTTGCGCCACTTTTCTAAAATCACGTCTTCATTCATGTGGTCTTGTATTAACATCGTGCTATGACAAGGCTAGAGTTATTTTATATCATGAATGTTTTCTCATGATTGCATTTGTCAC